ACTAGAACTCCCTGGCAGTCCTAGGTGTGTATTCTTTCTTGCTTTGGCACTTGGCACCTGCCAAGAATAATGGAATGATATAAATATAGAAGTGTAATTGCTGTAGTGCTGGCAGACAGGGAGATGGAGGTAGATACTTGGGTGTAAAGATAGTGAGAGGCAGATGCTGGAAAGATGGCTACCACCCAGTCCTTCTCCCAGTGAGAAGAAACCTAACCACACTTCACAAAAGATACAAAAGGAGCGTGCTTGCTGCTGCTTTTGTTCTCAATTTTGGGACTTGATGGTTCAGCTAACACCGAGATTCTACTATCATCAGGTTTGCATCATCACCGAGAGCATCATCCAGACAAAGAAGCAAGTACCATGGGCAGAAAAAAAATACAGTTGTTCTTTTTTTGAGAATAGTTATGTTGTTTCGACTGTGTTTTCTAAGCTTTCAACATGTTCCACAGTTTTTTACCAAAATCCTGTTCCTTTCATTTCCTTTCAACCATTCACCAGCCACAGGAGCCCGTCACGGCTCCAGCTCCAGTGCAATCAGCACCTCCTGAGAAAGGCAACTTGGTTGGTCATCCATCGAGCGCCGTTCGTCCATGAGTCTTGTTCTTGGGCCACTTGGGTTTGTTGAGACAAGCAGACAATGCAGGAAGGATCAGGAAGGTATCAACCCGTAAAAAGATTCCAGTCTTCATACTGAGGGAAATCGCTTCCTTTCTACAAGGGCACAAGGACATGTAGACTCACTTGGATGGAGCAAGACAGCCAGGGACCCAAAGCATCTTGAAATTCATCCACGTGACAACTGGCAGGTTGGCCCCCGAGTAGTTGAAGGCCGATGATTTATACGATATATACCAGTATATATACCTTTATTCAATATTATTTTTATCAATTGATTTGTGTGTGTAATCATTGTCCATGGATTGGTGAAATGTATTTGTACTCTGGTACGGACTTGGAAGCCAACTTGAATCGATGTGTCATGGACGAATTTGGAGCAGGTACTTTTCCAGAGCTATGTGAAACGACGTGAGGCTTTAATTAGGGTGTATGCCTCGTACCAATGCCCGTAGACCCTGTTGGATGTTTCGAAGATGTGGACGACCAGGGTTGGACATGAGGACACCCGTAGGCCGTAGCAGCGACAACTGCTAGAGCTGAGCAGCACTCGTTTCTTGTTTTGTGGAACGAAAAGGAGGAAGAAAACAAAGGGCCAACAAAACAAAGAAACCCGGCAGAAGTCACTGAATAATGAGCAAGACACAGGCCACAAAGGGTTGGTCAAAAATGATTGTCGTAATGAACCTGGAAGCGTTCGCCTTTCGCTACATCACCGGGAATCAAACGACTCTAGCGTGGAGTCAAACGACTCAGTCACCTAAGGGGTGGAGGTCCATGCGTGTTGCAGGATCCCTCCAAAAAGTGTTCCAAATGAGGTTGCAGGACCACGGCGTTCCAAACAACACAGATGTGACTAAAGAAAGATTGCAAACCGTCAACCTCGAGAAAAGGAAAACAGAGAACTTGCAAGAATCGTGGACAACATACCAGCCGCATAGGAGAAACAAGAGGACAAACCTAGTAATTAACACAATAGAGTAGGCCTTAAGTAGTGACCAGATCGGCCTTCCCCCCAACTCTCCCCCCTGCCGCTCTCCCAGCAGATTTGATTGGGCTGATACTGGACTTTGACCCTAAGCGCATTTGCCAATCTATGACTGTGGACTTGTAGCTGGTCTTTGTCATCTCCTCTTTGCTGATTTCAGCTATATAATATATACTAGTAACCCTGTTTTTTGCCTATGTTCCCACTACTTGCTCCTATGCTGTTTCAATTAGTCTTCCTATTTGGTGTCAACGTGTTTTCTATTTTTTATGTTGCACATGCCGATCCCAATCCCAAGCTTCATTTGGATCAACACTATTGTTCAATGGTTTTATGCGGAACCACAAATGGGTATGGGTCCAAGTATGGGTCCAAAGATACGCCGTTCGGGTTCTGCAGTTCTTGTCGCGTGCTTCTTTTTCCCCATTCGGGCTTGGGCCTAATTTCGGGTGTTCTTGGACTCCAGACAAAATAGGTTCAGTCAAAGTTCAGTAACTTACATGTTGTTGGACATCACCTGACCGTCTACGTCCGGGAACCACCTATATAATCATGACAACACTGGAGGCGATGAAAAAGGTGGAAAAGGTGGTGCCAGAAGCAGAGGCGGGAGTTGGATCGATTGATCAAGGTTCCAAGAACATGGAGATCGATGTGTTCAGTGTATTGGATTTGGATCAATGATCCAACATGTTGAGACTACATTATTCAATCTAAAATCATTCACACCTTAATGGTTGTTTTATTAGATTGCGCAGTCCATGTTGACACTCTGTAAATAGATGAACCTGCCTCCTGACACCATAATTTACCTTTGATGGGGGACGATTCACTTGCGTATCGAGCCTGCAGAAAAGAACGCACTGACAACTTAAAACCAGCAAGAGTGATTGCAAGACCTCTTTATGTCAAACAACAATTCAATGTTGGGCATCAACAGACCTACATCCCATCAGGCCTCTCCCCTGCGATAGACCTTACTGGCGACAAGAGGCTCGAAGGTTCTCAAAACCAGCAGCTTGCGGTTGCTGGCAGGTCTTGCGATTTCACTGCTGCTCTTGCCTTTGGCATGGAGGCATGGAATTTTGAACAAGGTGGTGGTGCATTTAGAATATTCCGTGCCATGCAGATGGATGCTGCAGTAGACCTGCTCACTGAATTGAAACCACAAGTGTGCGTTCCCCATCCATCCTTTCCCCCGAAGGCCGTGAAGGGAACTTTCAAGCGGGGGAGAGAAATTATTGGCAGTATCCGGATGAAGGAACTTGATATATACAGTATTTTGTGGGCGTATATGATTGTTATTTTATACTATATATACATATGTTGGCAAGCACTGATCAAGATCCTGAATCTTGTAGTGCATCCCCGACACCGGACCTTCATTGGACGGACGTGTTACCTCCCACCCTGGCGACGGAAGGGACTTCGCGTTGCTGATGGAGTCCACCATCTTCAGATTAGATGTAAATATCTGAAGGTTTTGTCAATCTGAAGGATCCCCATTTTCTTGACCATCTTCAAAACCATTTGATGTATGTGTTCTTTCCCACGATTGAAGCAAAGTTCCACATGGATGAATTCAACGACATGTGGCTTTGGTTCCGAGGCGGAGGATTGATCGTTCACCTCCTTGGATTGAACGTCAAGCTTTGTGTCTTGTTGAAGTCCATACACCCGTATACACTCCCTAAAGTATTCATGCAAGTGGATGGCATGACCCGCTTGGATGACCATGAAATCCGAAAACTTCCAGGTGGTGAACTGCACTTCCATGATGATTTCAGAGTGCATGAGCTCACAAGGGTGGTGCTTGCATATGCTTGCCCTCACATCCTCACATCACAGGTGGTGAGCAAAAGTGAGCCGTGTCGGTGGAGCTGGCAGTGGTACCCGTGGTCAGCGCGCGGTTCAAGACGGAAGTTGTTGTGTGTTTAAAAAGAGAGTCAAAAGCCGCTACATATTCTCCAGGAGATATTGTCCTGGTTCCACACGTCTTTTTCTATGTGCACATTTGGATAATTTGAACGTCCTTCAGAACAAACAACTGTTTGAGTCTAATATGATCTCTGGGAGTCACTACCTTATGATGTCGCTTCACACTACAAGATAGACCGCTCCAAATCAGGGAGTTCCTTTACTTTGCTTCGTCAGCATGGTCCGGTGAATGCACTCCAGTGACATCAGTATCCTGACCAGAACTGAAAAGTGAACACTGCGAGGTGACTCCAATCTATAGTACCGTGCTGTATTTTGGAAGAAATGATCTGCACTAAGAAGT